CGAGATCTAGCTAGCATACTTAACTAATGACCGGGCAGAGGCCCCAGCCCTGAAAAGCTCAACATGTCTTTACCAGTTTCCTAGTTCAAGTCCCTCACTGCACAGAGAAGGACCCTGAAGAGCCGATGGAGGCTTCTACTTCCCAAATCCCGGGCTTCAGCTTCCAGGGCATTCCCCACCAAGCACAGGCCTCAGTGACCACCCACCGCAGATAAGCAACAAAAGGTATGAGATTAGTCTAGATCCCTTCGCCTGATGGGAGTGGCCCTCTGTCCACAACCTCCTAACAATAACAAAAAGATCCCTCGGTCCTAGATCTCATTCTGCCCTCCTCATGTAGCACCTCACCCGGCTCTCTCTGCTCCAGCCACTGTCCCCTTTCCTGTTCCTGGGCTGCACCCAGCTCCTTCCCACCTCAGGTGTTCACATCTGTTCCTCTGCCTGGAACACCCTTCCCTCACACATCCTCCACCTGGCTCTCCCCCCACTTTCTTCATGAGTCTGCCCAAATTTTACTTTAGCGGGGCCTCCCAATCACTCCTTACCTCCCCTACTCTGTTCTTCTCCTTAGCATCTCTCATGACCGGACATATCACATATTTGTTTACCACCAGCCTCCTTCCAATTCCCTTGCCCCCACCTCTGGCTAGAATGAAATTCCTTGAAGGCAGGGACTTTTATTACTTAACCACTGTGTCCCTAGCAACAGAACAGCACCTAGCCAACACGAGGTGCTCGGTAAGTATCTGTGGAATGCATGGATTAAAAGGGTAAAATGGGGGACACCACTCCCACTATTTACTCGGTCACTAAGCTTTACCGAGAGGAAGGCAGGCAGTCCCAAAATCACAGGAGAGTGCTGCCTGGTGCCCGCAGCCAGAGGCCCACAGGCTGTCTCAGGCTCCTGGGCCTAGGACATCCTGGGCCTGAGACATCATGGGTGGTTAAACACTCCTACGCATCTCAGTCAGCCCGCGATGCTTGCAGCTGATACTTTGCTGACCTGGCCTCAGAGAATGGAGTCTCTCCCCACAGGCACATAATAAATGTTTGTGAACTGCACACATGAATGAACAAGCCAACAATTAATGTGCACAGGGCTCACACTGGCACTTTCAGAAGCCTGTGTCCACGCTCCCAACATGAGAGGTGGTCTGACCAAGTAACTCCATTTCTAGGAACCTACCGTCAGTTTTATCTGCAAAGATTTCCCTCCCAGAGACACTTAGAACTTAGAAAATTACAACCAAAACCAGCAGATTTCCAACTTTAGAGGGCTAGTTAAGTCACAAAATAGCCACAGGATGTTCACGAAGACTTCATAATGACATGGAAATGATTAGAACAGACTATAAAAAAGGCTGATTATAAAACTGTATCTACAGTATGTCTGTACTTACAACATAAGAACTCACAAGACCATAAAATATAATTGTTTTTCTATCCTTTCCACCTTTCTGTATTTCCTAAACTGTCTATGAACAATGATGAGTTAAGAAAATCAAACTGACAGAAATTTTAAAAATGCTGTCACCTGACGCTTTACTGGTGCCCAGGTGTGTGACTGCTTACACCTCTGACCCCTGACTTTGGCTTCCGCCCGTTTCTGCGTTCACAGGACCCTGCGTCCTCTTCTTCCCGCCTGTCCCCAGCACCTGATGCCAACAGCCCTCCCAGCCCTGCCACAGCACCGACCTTATTACCACACCTGCAATGACTCCTCCCCGAGAAATCAGGCTCCAAGCCTGGGACACCCCACCTGACACTCTCCTGGCCCACAGGCCCCAGTCCAGGCCCAGCTCCTCCACTTCCCAGCTCTGTGGCTCTGGGCAAGTTACTGAACCTCTCCAAGTCTCCACCTCCTCCTCGGAAAACGAAGCTGACCCCACCTCACAGGGCATCTGAGGTTCAGGGAGCTAATGGCCCCCACCTCACAGGGCCCTTCTGAGGTTGAGGCTCACTGTGCTAATGGCTGGGTGTGCTCTAGCCATCTCCATGCTCTGGGCCCCAATCTTCTGGCTCCCCCTCAGCCTCGTGAAGTTGAAATTGTTTCTCCTCAATCTGGGCACCTGTCCTCTCCTGAAAGCAGCAAAGAAAAGCAGCTTTGCCCTTGGACCTTGGGCCACAATGGTTTCTTGACTGATACCCCATTCCCCTGCTGAACCCTCCACTCCTTCCGAGAACTCGCAGCCCAACTCGTCCTCAGAGCGGATGCCCAAATTTAATCGCAGCACTCACCCCTCCGGAGTTCCCCCTCCACCTCCAAAGTCCTCCTGGGCTGAGGTCCTGCTGACTCTTGAAACCATCTTCCCCAGCCACACCAGCACCCTCCCAGGCACCCCGACTCAGGGCTTGGCCTCAGTGCTGTCTTTTAGTCACAGGGCTTTACACATTCATCCTTCCTGAACACTCTGTATCATCCCTCTGACTCCTCAGGCATTTAATGAGCACCAGCTGCAGCCAGACTCCATGGCACGCAGGCGCTGGGGTTCGGAGGTAGGAGGCTATCTCAGGTCCCTGCCCTCAGGGAACTCACAGGCTCGGGGAGAGATGCATGAATAACGACCTCTCAGTGTGGCGAGTGCTAGGAAAACAGATGTGTGCTACTGGCTGCAGGGGCCTTCTCTGGGCTGTGACCATCAGCTTAGGACGGCTCCTGGGGGGATTCTAACAGCAAAGCTAGACCTTGAAGGATGGAGTATCAAACAGCAAAATCAAATCACCCATCACTTATCCCAGAGCCCTCAGGGGTCTCTACTGCCCCCATCCACCATCATCTGTAATCTGATTCCCAGCTAACCCACCAGACTCCTGGCACCTGGGTGCACCTGCCACTTGGAGGTATCTCCATGGAGCTGGGAGGAAAGCTGTGTAGCCGTGCTTTTTCTGTACCCTCTTCTCCACAAGCCTCCCCAGCACAAATCATGTTCTGGAGCAATGCCGCTTAAAATGGGTCCCTGCGCTGGGGGCATCAGCATCGCCCAGGCCTCACCCAGACGGATGGAATCTGAATCATCTCATATGCAAATTAAAGGTTGAGGGGCTCTGCTCTGCACCCCAAATCAACTCCCCCAGGCCTTTGCTTCCTCCTCTTCAGATCCCCTGCCCTTTACCTCCCAACCACCCCATCACCTCCGCCCCACCTGCCCAGGGCAGCACACACATATCACAGCTCTCTTCATCTCTGGCTCCACCTGTGGACACCTCGCACCATGGTCCTTCTGTCAAGCTTACTGAGAGGGACAGATGGCAGGCAGTGACTGACAACCAGTGCCTCCAGAGCAATTATCAAGTGCCACCAGACATCCTTGTCATCATGGAACCTTCCCCAGTGAGGTAGAAATCGCAGATGTTAGGAGGCTCAACTGGGGTCACAGAGTTAACGGAGGGTGGGGTTGGAGATGACCCCAGGTTTACAACCTGTACCAAGAGATAAGGGTGAGCACCACAGCCTTGCAGAGAACATTCCATGTAAGGAGGCAGGAGCTGTGCAAGTATATCTGCATTTGACGGGGGGAACAGTCACTTGGCCAGGACCCAGAAACAAGGGGAAAAGTGGTCCAGAACAATGAGAAAGGCAGGCACGGCAAGACCATGAAACCCTTCAGTGGCCGACTAAAGAGCTCAGACCTGCAGGGGGCAGGAAGGTAACCAAGTTTTTGGAGCAGGCTGGTTAAAAGCGGCAACATCCTTCCCTGACATCCATCCCGTCCCCTCACCCCCACGAGCCTGATTCTTCATCACTGCGGACTGGCTTCTCCAACCCTCTGGGTGCAGCAAATGCAGCCAGACACTCTCAGGTACACCTGGCTCAGTCTCCTGCCCTCCATGACCCCTCTCTGCTCTCCCAGGCTGCAGCCTAGCTCCTGGAAACCTCCACAGCAAAGCCCTCATTGACAGTCAGAAAACAGGCCTCACGTGACCCCTACTCAGCAAAGTCCAACTTCCAGTAACCCTTTCCCTCCTCTATGATTGGTGGCACCTTCCTCAGAAAGGTTGGAGGCATGGGATCCCCCTCCCATCCAGTTTTCCCACACCAAATCCTATTTCAATGCTCATCTCCTAGAGGAAGACCAGAGACTCCCCTTCCCCTCAGCCAACATCCCAAGGAGGCCAGGCTGTGCTCTGAGAGATGGAACAGAATAAGAGATGTCTCTGCCTTGGAGAAGCTCACAAGAGGTGGCTCGGGACCTGAGTACATACCCCTTTAAAGGGAAAACATCTTCATGACCCCCTCACTCCCATACCTTTGTGCACCTGGACCTAGCTGGACAGTCTTAGTCTTGGAAAATGTCTTTCAGTAGCAAAGAGTCACTACGACAGCAAGTCTGCCTTTTATGACTGAAAACTGTAGAATTAACTTTGCATAAAACAGAAAACATTAACATTATAACACATAATTTTTTAATTCCTGCATTATCTATAGACTGAAAATATGTTGGTAGAACTTTGTGATACACAGACCTAGAGTCTGGCTAAGCGATGTGTAGTCTGTGGACCAGAGTCTCAACATCACCCAGGAGCCGTAAGAGGCCTGGAATCAGAATCGGCATTTAACGCTAAAGCTGGGGAAGCCCCAGCTGAGAGCACACGGTTGGTGGGGTCCAGGTGGAGATGGGGGGAACGAGGCCAGATGGAGCCAGGTTACATGAACCTGCAGAGAATTAAGTGATCTCATGTATTCTTGTAGGGGATACTTTCTGGCAGCAATGTGAAGGAGACAGAGGTGTGAGGGGCCTGGTGGGGACACTAAGCTAGAGTGGAAATAAATGGGAGCTTAAAACTGACCCAATGTTATTAGCAGGGGTGGGAAGGAAGGCGGGCTGGAGAAGGGATTTCTCAGGTGGATTTGCGCAGTGCAGGCGTGGGGGTGAGTGAAGTGTGACCCTGGGGTTTCACAGTGAAGACATAGAGAGGGTGTTTTAAGGAAGGTGCTGAGCTCCGTTTGGGATGTGCAGAGGGTAGGGGGAGGGGTTCAGATGCAATGATACAAGTCAGACCTGAATTGCCCAAAGACGACCAGGCTGGAGAGGCCCTGACGATGGTACCAAGCGAGTTCACCCAGGAAAGCCTGCAAGACTGAAAGAGCAGAGGGTAAAGGGAATGGACAGCAGAGGATGTGCCAGGGCAGGCGGGGAGGCAGGAGGGAAGCTTCACTACAGAGGCCCTGGCACGAGGAACAGGCAACCGGCCAGCAGCACAGAGACCAAACCGCCACTGGTCTTTAGAAGCAAGCAGTCCCGGCCATCACAGCAAGGGTAGTATTAACCAGGGGGCAGGTGGGGAAGCCCAGGGATAGCAGGAGGGAGGATGCAAGGGCAGATAAAGCAGAGACTGCTATACAAACACCTAAACATCCCACCTGAGGTTGCAAGTCCCCTGGAATCAAAACTGCCTTTCTGTACACCTATGTTCATAGCAGCATTATTTGCAATAGCCAAATGGTGAAAGCCACCCAAGCGCAAAAAGTGACCTCAAACTAAATGCTTTTACATAGCTGAGCCTTGGGGTGGAAAAGAACACTTTAACCAATAAAACAATATAATTTAACTAGAAAACCTTTCCAAAGTTCAGTCAGTGCTAGTATCTCGCATTCTAAGAACTAGAATTCTCCTTCACTAACTGGTTTTTCCATTAAAGCCACCAATGCCTAGAGTTATAAAAATCCTGTACTGCATGCATGGGCTTGTGTTCATGATGTCCACACGACTGGGATGCCCCAGAAAAATATACCTTCACATTTACATCCTGTGATACTTTTTAACCCAGGAAGTCAGGGCTTATATTTTTTGCTAGGCAGACAATGGGTTAAAGCACCAAACCACACGGACCCCAGTGCTTGCCACCTCTGCCCGGAGTCTGGGCACTCAACACTGCAGATCTAGGCTTCCTGATAAATGGCCCCCTACTGACCTTGTTACCGGGATTCCTAGACGCTGGTTTCCTGCCTGGTTTCTCTGCATCCAAGTCCCTGTCTGCACCTACTGGTCATCTAATGACCATCCTCTCATGCCTGGGTACCCAATGACACCTGCTTCCCTGCCTCTGCCAAAGGCCAGCAACTTGGTTCTGACCTCAGAACTAGGGCCGGGAGAGAGACATGGGTGTTTGTGCAGGAGAACAGGGTGCAGGTGTGAGCACCAGGGGAAAAAGGAAGGTGTCCTCGAGGGAGACTCTGGTCTCAGGCCCCACCTCACCCACACACCCTGGCTCTCACATTCCATTAGAATTTGGTCAGAGAGAAGCTCAGCTGGCTTGTTTGTCCCCTTTGTGCTTCTAGCACAGACCCCGTCCCTCCTCTTCCATCCAGCCTGGATACCTAAGTGACACTTCAGGCCCTTGCAGTCCCAGGGCAGGAAGGAGCAGGTGAACAGAGGGCTGAAAGAGGGCTGGTGTAGCAGGAACAGATCATGCTAAGGGAGGTACGACTGGAGCCATGAGAGGAGTTTTGTCTTTATCCAGGTAGAGGATTCCTAGTGCTAGGGGGTTTTCCAGGCTAAGTCCCCTGCACTGACCTCCAACCTCAGTCACATTTGGGTAGGATGACCACACATTCTCATTTGCCCAGGATAGTCCCACTGAGGCTAGTTGATTAGATGCAATTATTAACAGCTGCCCCTTTTATTCTCAAAAATGTTTTGGTTTTGATGATGAATTCTAATTACCCTATTCTTGGGCCCCTAGGCCTGCAAAGTTAGTCATAGAGAAGGCTGCTTAGCTTTGGGAGCGAACTCCAGGCCAAGTCTCACCCCTCATCAAGATGTTCCATTCTCCTCTTCAGCATCCCTGCCAAGCCACCACCCAGTGTCTGCTTGTATACCTGCAGGGACAGCAGGCTCACTATTCTCTGAGGAAGTCTCTCTTTTTTTGGGAAAGCTGTGATATAGAAACAGCAGGATTCAAACCTACATACAGTATGATTGCAACTAAATAACAACATCCTTCAGCAAGGAAAAGACTGGGAGTGGGGGAAACTAGAAAACCTGCTGACTTCCCCTTCCAGTGCCTTCCATCTTACGGTCTCTTCATTCAACAAATATTTACTAAGTGCATTTCATGTTTCAGTGGCACTGGCGATGCAATGGTGAGTCAAAACAAACAAACTCAAATTGAGGGGCATTCTACAAAATAACTGGCCTGCACTCTCCAAAAATGTCAAGGTCATAAAGGACAAAGGAAGGCTGAGGAACTGTTACAGTTTAAAGAGCAGAGACATGACAACCACATGCAACCCACGGTCTGGGCTTTTCTTCGAGATAACGGATACTATCAAGACAGCTGGCAAAACCTGATTCAGGTCTATAGATTAGAGAACTACTGGTATTGTATCAATATTGATTTCTTTTAAGTTTCTTTATCTTTATTGTTGAGAATATTACAGATGTCCCCTTTTTATCCCCATTGATCCCCTCCACTCCACATCCATCCCACCCCCAGGCTTTCCCCATACCAATACTGATTTCTTGATTTTAAAAACTGTACTATAGTTATATGGGAGAATGTCACCGTTTTTAGGAAATACACCGAAGTATATGGGGGAAAAGAAAGAGTCTATAACTAATCCTTAAATAGTTCAGGAAAAATACCTACCTAGAGAGAATAAAATAAATGTGATAAAACGATACCATTTGGGGAATCTGGGTGAAGGGTATATGCGAGTTCTTTGTTCTATTCTTGGAACTTTTCCATGTCTGAATTAGGTCAGAATATAAAATTAAGAGAAAATAAGTCTCAGAGAAAGTTGTTGTTTTTTGTTTGTTTTAAAGAAAGAAAGACTTCACAGAATTCACAGTGCAGCTGGGGAGACAGGTACTAATACAAATAATTACACTAATTAACTGCAAAATTGCAACCGTGAAAAGCTCTATAGAAGGAGACAGATGGTGGCATGAATGTTTATAGCAGGCACGTTTACCCAAATCAGAAAGGTGAGGGAAGGCATTTGCAATCATGAAGCAAAGCCCCAATGCGTGAGTTAACTGGGGGGTGGGGGGGTTTGCAGGCTCTCACAGCCCCTCATTCTTCTTTTGCTCCCTGAAATTTTAATTTTCTACAGCAACCATGTATAAATTTGATAACCAGGGAGGGGAGGGGGCAGGGAAACAGAGTGGGCAAGATCTGGGTTTAGTCTGTCATCATCCTGCCTCCTGGCCCCTCCTGTGGTTAGGGTCAGAGCTGGCTGCTGCCTAAGAACCTCAGGTTGACACTGAGGCTGGCTCACCTGAAGCAAGCGGAGTGCAAGGGCCAGGTCTCACCTCCCACTCCCAAAATCAGATCAGTGCCTTCCATCAACACAGCATCCAGCTGGCCATGGCCCCTTTCTGGTTCTGGTTTCTGCCCCCTGGAACACCCCTTTTGTGCTGAGCTAGAACCTGCAGCCCTGCCCTGGGAGTGGGCCATGACTCTCCCACAGCAACTCTCAGCACTGAACTACAAACAAAGTGCTTGTCCCGAGGGTCAGGGGCCTGACCACAAGGGAGGGGACCCTTTTCTGTGCCAAGTTCTGCCTTAGTGGGCTTTCAGTCATTAGCTCCTTTAAAATGGCTAACTTAAAGGACATAGGTTCTACTATTATTCTCATTTTACGTTAAATGACTTGTCTAGGGACAGACTTTGGTTTAAATCTTGACTGTCCTACTTAAGAGCAATGTGCCTTTTGCGTAGTCATTTCCTCTCCCTAAGCCTCAGTTTTCTCACCCCATCTGTAAACTGGGGATTGTAAGAATTTGCAAGATTCTGGGACTAGGAGGTACTGTTTCTCCCCTTTTGAGGCTCCAATAGGCTCAGCACAGAAAATTCACTCCAAACTACACAGTGCTTAAATATTTACTAAAAGCTTGTGTATCCTGACAGTAAATCATAGGACCTGAATTTTCCAGGACCATCCCAATTTCAAATCCTCTGTCCTAACTTTCCACATAAACCATCAAAATGTCTCAAAAATTCCACTCTCTCAGTATCCAAACAACACCTCCCAGACCTCCCTCCTCTTGCACAAAAAAGCAGCACAAACATTCTTTTTCAGACTACAGTTCCCAATCTTTGGTTCAGAAAATAGTCAGAGAGCCCTGCAGGCCCCCTGAAGGAAACGGGGTCAGGGATAAAAATCTGCAGCAGTCAGCATGCCATCACAACTCAGACTCGACTGTTTTCTGGCACAATGGTGTGAAGCGAGCCAGGAGAAGGTGTACCACCATCAGAGCGTCACCCACAGAGGGGCACAGACTGGGGAAATGAGCTCTGTCCCCATCTACCTACCAAGCAGCTGCTACCCACAGAGGCAGCTCCATTGGAGGGTTGCTTCGAGGATTAAATGAGTTAATATTTGGGAAGCACTCAGGAACAGTGCCTGGCAGCCAGTAAGCACTGTATCAGTGTTGAATAACTAAAACCAGAGGCATCCTAGGCAGAAGGTGCTCATACCTTGAAGACAACCCAGAGGCATCGCTCCTATATGAGGAATAGTAGGAGGATGGTCACTTAGCCGTGGGCTGGGTGAAGCCAGGCCCCTTCGCAGAGATGGGAGAATGCCCTAACTACAGGAGGTGGGTCCTGCATTCACCACGCTCAGAGGGGGAAGAGTCACCACTCCTGATGTACACAAGGTCTCTTCATGCCTCTGAGCCTTTGCATTTGCTGTTCTGTCTGCGCCCTGAATACCGTCTTTTTCTACCTTCAAGGCTGAATTCAAATGCCAGCTACTCCCTATGATGTTCCCTGATGCCCATCAGAATGAGTGGCCGCCTCAACTGGTCTCTGCATTTGGCTTTACCTTCTTGTAAAATAGTTATCAGATAGATATAGGTCGATAGATGATAGATACATAGATAGATAGATGATAGATAGATAGATGATGATAGATAGATAGATAGATAGATAGATAGATAGATAGATAGATAGGCAGATGATAGATAATACACGTCAGTCTTCCCAACTCCACCATGAATCCTTCCAAAACAGGGGTTCAAATTTCATCTCTGTAACCCTACTGCCTGACAGACAGTATAGACTCAATAAATGTCAGAATTTGCTGTTAAATCTTTGCTCACA